AAACACATCAATCACCGTCACATGGACACCTGCCCACGTGGGCATAGAAATAAATGAGAAAGCGAACTCCCTTGTATGCGATGAAAACATTATCACTCCTGAAGATCTCAAACAATTAGGTAAGCGTGACCTCCAAACCCAGATGCTGACCGACTGGAACCTCTATACACACGCCAAGTATCCCTGGCTCGGCACTGTAATAGATCTATGACTATCTAATAATGATCGGTACACCACCACTCTAAACAATAGAATAATTTTCTATGTGAATTTTATTATAAGAATTTATTTATACTCCAAAACCAGGTTTGTGGATAAATAAATGACGACAAAACTGATATAATAGCCAATTATTAAATTGTGCTATTATTGCTATTAAATTTATTATACATTACAAATGTATTAAACGTACAAACAAATTATATTATATAACATTATTTGCGCTATTAAAATTTACTTTAAGTAAGAAATTTTTCTGTGTTTTTTTTTTTTTTACTTTTAACTGATGAAATAAATGATTGATTAATTGTTCGAGTGAAAAAATGCAACGGACAGATAACAAAAAAGTGAAACATCTGGAGGTCAAGTAGGATCAGCATGTCACATCCTATCATCAATGTAACAGAACACTGATTTAATATTAATAATAATAATTATTATTATTATTTGCGTTATTAAAATTTACTTTAAGTAAGAAATTTTTGTGTTTTTTACTTTCAACTGATGAATTAATGATTGATTAATCATTCGAGTGAAAAAATGCAACGGACAGATAACAAAAAAGTGAAACATCTGGAGGCCAAGTAGGACTTGTGACCAGATGTCATATCCTATCATCAATGTAAGAGAACACTGATTTAATGTTATATCCATTATTGAAAAATAAACATCCTTGTTTGGTTTTGTTAATTGTACACATACTTTGCTTTCTGTCATTTACACCAATTGGCAAAGGTTATGGCTTGGATATAACAAACCTCCTCGAGATTTGATGAATGTAAACGTCTTCTCTGGTGCAGCATCTTTAGATTTTGCTGTCAACATATTTTTGCATTTATCACAACCAAGTGATGGCAGTGGACGATAAACAATGTAACCTCCCAAATAGCGTAGAATAAACTTAAATATTTCTGGTGCACAATAATCATATTCTAATAATTCATTATCAGTATGAACTCCATAGGATAGATTTACAAAGCAAATTTGTAAATGTTCTAGTTGTACTTGGAAGTGTTCATCATGCAAATCTAATGATTGATAAAAGAAATATTAGACAACTAATCTTAAAGTATTTATAAGGTCATCGTCATCTAATCTGACACCATCAAATGACTGATCATCGTCTTATAATATAATACCATCAAATGAGTCATTATTACCACCTGCAATAAATGCAGAGCCTTTGTCAAATAGAAGAAATAAAAGAAAACTGGAAGTGTGACCGAATGGGTTAAAATTTTAACTAATAAGATTGATGAGAGAGGAAAGGAAAGGGCAGAAAAGAAAAATCGTATGGGATTTTAGAAAAATTAGTTGATAAACTATAATCTTCCATGTATAAAAAAGCACATTGTGATATGGCAGCTTTTAATAAAATTTTCATTTTACTTCAATTGTGTTTTGAATTATTTGCCTTAAGGATTGATTAAACAAACTACTATTATTTCATACTATTTAATTAAAAGTCAATCCATTCTAAACAATTATCATATTACCACTAATTTAGTCATAATGATATCAAAACTAGAATTTTCATATCCATTAGTTTTATTACATTAGAATATGACAATCTTGGATTTCAGAAAGTTGTCTTTTTACTTGACGGATCTAAAGTAGCCAATTGCTTATGGTTAGAAGTGGGATTTACCTTAAGCACATTTGGAATCTTCTAAACTGTTGTGTTCAGGGCATTACAGTATATAAATTGTAAAGAAACGAGCTACATTAATAATCCAAAATTACATAAGCTGTGTACTTGAATGAATTTTCACTTATATGAGGTAAATAACTTCTCAAGAAATTGTATCAATTCAATACTCTTGTTTCAACTATTTGCATTTTAAGAATTTCTAAAAATTATGGTACTGTTTTTATAACATTATGTAAATACATCATAAAAATGTAAAAAAGTTTATTACAAATTATGCAATTTTATTCAGTGCTGATGATATATACAATTATGTTCAACATACATGTAATAATAATTGAACAAAATAATATAAAGAATTTTATAAGTTATAAAATACAGTATAAAGAAAAAGAAAGAAATATTATATAACAACATAGATATTGAAACAAATACTGTACTCTAAATTGTAGAAAGTAGATTGTATTCGGTCAGTAAAATATTTAGAAGAGTGAACACTTATCTAAATATTCTTAACTTTTTAAAATCTTACAACAAAACTGTTAAAAAGTCCAGACCCATGTAGGGTCCAAAAATGTTCCAAATGTAATTTCGAATTCCACTTGAATTCTTCCTCGGTTTTTAAGATCTTACAGAAATTCCATTTGCAATGTCATCACGCTTTCTTGACATTTGATAAACTATAATCTTCCATGTATAAAAAAGCACATTGTGATATGGCAGCTTTTAATAAAATTTTCATTTTACTTCAATTGTGTTTTTTTGTACGAAAAAACCACAATTGTTCAATTGTACTAAAAGCAGGTAAACACGTGGATGCGTTGCAGTTTCTTCACTTTCTTGGTCATCAAAATCATCATCTATTTGTATTACGTCGCAAGTTTGTATACAAATATTGTGAAGAATGCATGCACCAATAATTGTTTTTACAATCAGGTCCTTTCGACACGTCTAAAAATTTTAATTGCCTGAACCGTCCAACAAGATTTGCAAAAGCACGCTCAATTACGTTTCTACACTTTGCTAATTTATTATTATACAGCTTTTGCACGCTGTTGAGATTCTCGTTATCTCGATATGGTGTAAGCAAATGTTCAGATAACGTGTAGGCACTATCACCCAAAATATGGCCACAGCTGAAAAAGCCATCTCCGGTGTTTGCTCTTTCATGCAATGCTGATCGTCGGAAAACACAGGCATCGTGTACTGTACTGACCCTGCTTCACATACATAGCAGTCTAAAAATGTCATTTTTTCATTACAAACTGCTTGTATAATAGAATGACAGAGTAATACTTATTTCAATCGAAATAAGCTGCTGCTTCTTCAAGTGGTGCTTTAATGGCCATATGCCATTAAAGCACCACTTTCCATCTATATAGCCTATAGGCTGTATAGATGGAAAGCATAATTCCTGGGAAACCAGACTGGATACAAAAAAATTCATTGATTTTTCGGCATCTTGCTTTGATGGTCAAAAATTATTTTTTTCATTTTCATTTAATATTAAGAGAGAATCAATAACTTTATTTAAAATGTTCCATGCTGTACGCCGAGACACATTAAACCAGGCTTGCATTAAACCGATCGCCAATGCCTCTAGAAAAAAAAGGAAAAACATATACAGTATATTGTATTTAATATCAATTATTTTTTTATTTGATTCTGATGAAACCGTGTTGTAGTTTTCCTTGCTTTTTTACAGACACACTACGGTGACATTATTCAACACTTGGCAGATTATTCACCACTTTATTCAGTTGGGACACTATTTACAAGTCGCATTTCGGGCATTAGCCCCTCTTCAGCCAACTAAACATTAAAATAAAACATGAGAAATTATACATATAAATACGCGAGTAAAACATCCCGTAGATATAACATTTAAAAAAAATCTTTTGGTTAAATTCCAGATGCGTGGACTGTCATGGCGGCACTTCCTTTTTTCNATCATGCAAATCTAATGATTGATAAAAGAAATATTAGACAACTAATCTTAAAGTATTTATAAGGTCATCGTCATCTAATCTGACACCATCAAATGACTGATCATCGTCTTATAATATAATACCATCAAATGAGTCATTATTACCACCTGCAATAAATGCAGAGCCTTTGTCAAATAGAAGAAATAAAAGAAAACTGGAAGTGTGACCGAATGGGTTAAAATTTTAACTAATAAGATTGATGAGAGAGGAAAGGAAAGGGCAGAAAAGAAAAATCGTATGGGATTTTAGAAAAATTAGTTGATAAACTATAATCTTCCATGTATAAAAAAGCACATTGTGATATGGCAGCTTTTAATAAAATTTTCATTTTACTTCAATTGTGTTTTGAATTATTTGCCTTAAGGATTGATTAAACAAACTACTATTATTTCATACTATTTAATTAAAAGTCAATCCATTCTAAACAATTATCATATTACCACTAATTTAGTCATAATGATATCAAAACTAGAATTTTCATATCCATTAGTTTTATTACATTAGAATATGACAATCTTGGATTTCAGAAAGTTGTCTTTTTACTTGACGGATCTAAAGTAGCCAATTGCTTATGGTTAAAAGTGGGATTTACCTTAAGCACATTTGGAATCTTCTAAACTGTTGTGTTCAGGGCATTACAGTATATAAATTGTAAAGAAACGAGCTACATTAATAATCCAAAATTACATAAGCTGTGTACTTGAATGAATTTTCACTTATATGAGGTAAATAACTTCTCAAGAAATTGTATCAATTCAATACTCTTGTTTCAACTATTTGCATTTTAAGAATTTCTAAAAATTATGGTACTGTTTTTATAACATTATGTAAATACATCATAAAAATGTAAAAAAGTTTATTACAAATTATGCAATTTTATTCAGTGCTGATGATATATACAATTATGTTCAACATACATGTAATAATAATTGAACAAAATAATATAAAGAATTTTATAAGTTATAAAATACAGTATAAAGAAAAAGAAAGAAATATTATATAACAACATAGATATTGAAACAAATACTGTACTCTAAATTGTAGAAAGTAGATTGTATTCGGTCAGTAAAATATTTAGAAGAGTGAACACTTATCTAAATATTCTTAACTTTTTAAAATCTTACAACAAAACTTAAAAAGTCCAGACATGTAGGGTCCAAAAATGTTCCAAATGTAATTTCGAATTCCACTTGAATTCTTCCTCGGTTTTTAAGATCTTATAAAAATTCCATTTGCAATGTCATCACGCTTTGTTGACATTTGATAAACTATAATCTTCCATATATAAAAAAAGCACATTGTGATATGGCAGCTTTTAATAAAAAATTTTCATTTCAATTGTATTGTACAATTTTCATTTCATTCAATTGCACGAAAAGCAGGTGGACAGGTAGATGCGTTACAGTTTCTTCACTTTCTTGGTCGTCAAAATCATCATCTACTATTACGTTGCAAGTTTGTATAAAATATTGTGAAGAATGCATGCACCAATAATTATTTTTACAATCAAGTCCTTTCGACACATGTCTAAAAATTTTAATTGCCTGAACCGTCCAACATGATGTGCAAAAGCACGCTCAATTACGTTTCTACATTTTGCTAATTTATTTTTATACAGCTTTTGCACGCTGTTGAGATTCTCGTTATCTCGATATGGTGTAAGCAAATGTTCAGATAACGTGTAGGCACTATCGCCCAAAATATGGCCACAGCTGAAAAATCCATCTCCGGTGTTTGCTCTTTCATGCAATGCTGATCATCGGAAAACACAGGCATCGTGTACTGACCCTGCTTCACATACATAGCAGTCTAAAAATGCCATTTTTTCATTACAAACTGCTTGTATAATAGAGTGACAGAGTAATACTTATTTCTATCGAAATAAGCTGCTGCTTCTTCAAGTGGTGCTTTAATGGCCATATGCTTTCCATCTATACAGCCTATAATTCCTGGGAAACCAGACTGGATATAAAAAAATTCATTGATTTTTCAGCATCCTGCTTTGATGGCCAAAAAATTATTTTTTCATTTTCATTTAATATTAAGAGAGAATCAATAACTTTATTTAAAATGTTCCATGCTGTACAGTACGTCGAGACACATTAAACCGATCGCCAATGCCTCTAGAAAAAAAGGAAAAACATATATATTGTATTTAATATCAATTATTTTTTTTATTTTAAACTAAGTTATACCATTGCAGTTATATGTCTTATGACTTACGTCTTATATCAGGTAGTTGATAGATTTAAATGCTATTCATTTAGAATTTACAATACTGTATATCAATATAGAAAAATCGGTTTGGAAGAGAATGTGAACAGACTCGTCGATGTGCTTTGCGAAGCGGAGCGCTACAAAAGAATATTTTGTTTATGGGATTCAATCAACCCATTTTTAAGACGGTTAGATCTTAAAATCAGTAGACTAAACCTACCTGCGTAAAGCCCATCTTATTTTTCATCGTCAATGTTGTTACTCAGCGTTCAGCCAAGGTCGCTTGATCAGCATATTAAACACAAAGCATCGGTCAACGCGCGCTGTGCGGCGTCATGGAGCACCGTCGCATCTATTCACTGGATAAATCATTCATTATATATAATGTGATGTTCTCTTATATACTATATCCGATTTCATCTATATATATAAAAATGAATGTATGTGTGTGTGTGTGTCTCTGTCCTTCATGCATTACCACACCGTTNCAAAAATGTTCCAAATGTAATTTCGAATTCCACTTGAATTCTTCCTCGGTTTTTAAGATCTTATAAAAATTCCATTTGCAATGTCATCACGCTTTGTTGACATTTGATAAACTATAATCTTCCATATATAAAAAAAGCACATTGTGATATGGCAGCTTTTAATAAAAAATTTTCATTTCAATTGTATTGTACAATTTTCATTTCATTCAATTGCACGAAAAGCAGGTGGACAGGTAGATGCGTTACAGTTTCTTCACTTTCTTGGTCGTCAAAATCATCATCTACTATTACGTTGCAAGTTTGTATAAAATATTGTGAAGAATGCATGCACCAATAATTATTTTTACAATCAAGTCCTTTCGACACATGTCTAAAAATTTTAATTGCCTGAACCGTCCAACATGATGTGCAAAAGCACGCTCAATTACGTTTCTACATTTTGCTAATTTATTTTTATACAGCTTTTGCACGCTGTTGAGATTCTCGTTATCTCGATATGGTGTAAGCAAATGTTCAGATAACGTGTAGGCACTATCGCCCAAAATATGGCCACAGCTGAAAAATCCATCTCCGGTGTTTGCTCTTTCATGCAATGCTGATCATCGGAAAACACAGGCATCGTGTACTGACCCTGCTTCACATACATAGCAGTCTAAAAATGCCATTTTTTCATTACAAACTGCTTGTATAATAGAGTGACAGAGTAATACTTATTTCTATCGAAATAAGCTGCTGCTTCTTCAAGTGGTGCTTTAATGGCCATATGCTTTCCATCTATACAGCCTATAATTCCTGGGAAACCAGACTGGATATAAAAAAATTCATTGATTTTTCAGCATCCTGCTTTGATGGCCAAAAAATTATTTTTTCATTTTCATTTAATATTAAGAGAGAATCAATAACTTTATTTAAAATGTTCCATGCTGTACAGTACGTCGAGACACATTAAACCGATCGCCAATGCCTCTAGAAAAAAAGGAAAAACATATATATTGTATTTAATATCAATTATTTTTTTTATTTTAAACTAAGTTATACCATTGCAGTTATATGTCTTATGACTTACGTCTTATATCAGGTAGTTGATAGATTTAAATGCTATTCATTTAGAATTTACAATACTGTANATTATTTTTATTTTTAATAATCTCAACACTCTTTAAATTGTCTGTTATATGTTTTTTTCTCTTTATGTAGAATCTGTATGTTAGATTTATCTATGTTGCAATCGTTTAGTACACAATGATCATGGAATACTGAGTTTAATCCGTGATACTTCAAATCGGACATATGTTCTTTAACCTTTATTTTTAGTTTGCGTTTTGTTTCGCCTATATAAAAACTGTTGTTTTTACATGTACTGTACATGGTATTTTATATACGATATTTTTCGTTTCTTGTTTATTTATGTTTTGTTTTTTCATACTTTGTTTAGCCTTCAATCTGGAGAATAATTTCCATATTTTGGAGCAAGTTTCATATTATTTTTCTTCATTTCTGTATCTATTTGCTCATACATATTTTTTATGTATGGAAAACCTAAATATTTTACTTTTGTTTTTCCATCAATTATTCTGGTTTTTTATCTATTGTTTTGGTAGTGTTATCTATTATTTTTGCCATTTATTAATTAATGGAAATTGATTGCAACATAGATAAATCTAACATACAGATTCTACATAAAGAGAAAAAAACATATAACAGACAATTTAAAGAGAGTGTTGAGATTATTAAAAATAAAAATAACAATTGTATAAATAAAAACTTAAGCATTAAAATTAGTGAGAACTGGATAAAAATATTATAATTAAGTTGGTGACTATTGGATATAATTATGACGATAATCACCAAAGTTTAAAGTTCATGTATAAATAAATGATTGTAAAAATCTGGAAATAATATAAGTTAATATTAATATAATAATTCCTGTTTGTACACAACTTTCCATTGTATACTGAAATAGTTTCAAAAATCAGCTCACTTATATCTGTAAATTAGTAGACCAAATAGTGTCGTTGAGATAACTGTATGCAAGACTTGTTTTACGAAAAGTTACAACTGATAACGTGTGAATTTGATGCCCGTATATAAACTACAGGTAAAACAAATACTAATAATTGGTTTGTACACAACAATTTAATGTAATAGACTAATAGTTTAAATAAGTTCACTGATATATATGTAAATTAGCAGACCAAATAGTGTCGCTGGGATGACTGTGCGTGAAACTCGTCATAAAAAAATTTACAACAGTTATTGTGTGAATTTTGGTATGATATACGAATATAAATTACAGGTAAAACAAATATTGTTAAAAAATGTTTATAAATTTCAAAACAAGCGTGATATTT